TTTATTAATCTATTATATCAAAATAATTTGTAACTCTATTGGAGCTACTACTGATTGCTTCATAGATACACTAAAACAGTTAGTTTTTATGCAAATTGAAGCATTGACAGTTTTGGTATAGTCTTTCTAGCTGAATAAACCATACCATAATTTATTTATGTAATTTATGACAAATTACTATTCCTATTTATTTATTATCTAGGTTCTGGTGGTAACAATCATGCATTGGATTATTATAGCGAAACCAAGTACCCATTAGCAGTTAAACTTGGCACCATTACTCCAGGAGGAGCTGATGTCTACTCTTATGAAGAAGACTCAATGGTGATGGACCCTAAACTATCAGAACATCTCTCACACTTTGGAATAAACATGATGATCATGTCTAAAGTGAGTCTAGTACTTATAGTTAATGTAGTGTGATTATTGTTTCAACTTCCATTATAATATGTAATAGCATGAATACATGTATGATGTACAGTAATACATGATGGGTCTACCAACAGTTCTAGTTTGTTTTATTCATTTAAATGTTATTATTTTGAACAATATCATGTCTACATCCTGATATTTTCCTTCAAACCAGTTCTATTAATCAGTTCCTTTTTGTGTAGACTGACAAGACAATGACTGAGTTACAAATAGATGCTAATATTAAACTGGGGGAGTGGTCAGTGATTCAGGAATCAGGCCACGAGCTAAAACTGGTTTACGGTCCTGGCTATACCGGTCTACAGAACCTTGGTAACAGTTGCTACATGAATTCCGTCATGCAAGTTCTTTTTGCACTGCCCGAGTTTAAGGAGAGGTGGGTTTGGTTGGAGGTGTGGCTTATTTTTGTGTTTATAGATACTATGATACTGCAGTGGATACTTTTAAAAGACAAACTGGAGACCCAACAAAAGACTTTAACACTCAAATGTCAGTAATACCTTGAGCGGTTATTAAATGTAGGCTGTTGACATGACAACCATGTTTTGTTGCTATGGCAGCCATGAATATAAAGATTTGAATGGTGGATAGAGGATTTAACTTTTTGATTGTAGTAAATTAATGTGTCAAAAATCGCTCCCAATTTTTATTACATATTATGATATATATTGATGTACTTATGCTGTGTAGCAAGTTTGAGCTAATTCTGACTTAAATTTTTAAAGTTACGGCCATCCTTAAAAATGAGCCATTTTCTGAAAAAATCCCTGTACTATAGCCCATGGTTTTTTTCTGAAAACTGGCCAAAAAATCACCCCCAATTTTTATTGCATTTTCTGATACATATTGATGTACTTATGCTGTGTAGAAAGTTTGAGCTAATTTCAACTTAAATTTTTCAAGTTACAGCCATTTTTAAAAATGAGCCATTTTCTGAAAAAAATCCCTGTACTATAGCCCATGGTTTTTTCCGAAAAATGGCCAAAAAATGACCCCCAATTTTTATCACATTTTCTGATACATATTGATGTACTTATGCTGTGTAGCAAGTTTGAG